AATGACTAGGGAGGATAGAAGGAGAATTGATGCCTTTGAGCTGTGGTGCTGGAGAAGAGTATTGAGGGTACCATGGACTGCTAGAAAAACAGATTGATCACGGAGAGGGTTAAACCAGGCGTCTCCTTGGAGGCAAGGATTCCGAGGCTTCGTCTAACATACTTCGGACATGTTGTAAGGAGGGACTGGTCCTTGGAGAGGGACATCATGCTTGGGAGGGTGGAGGGACAGCACAGGAGGGGAAGCCTTCTATGAGGTGGATTGATTCAGTGACTGGGGTAATCAGGATGGGTGTATTGGAGACAGTGCGATTGGCACAGGACAGAGCAGAGTTTATGGCTATTGTATATAGTGTCGCTATGAGTCACAAGCGACTTGATGGCACATAACAACAACAACAACAACTGGTTATTTGGGGTGCCTTCCAGTGAAATGAGGAAGACTGGTAAGGAGGTGTTTTCTGAGCAGTTGAGGTATTTAATGATGGAAATGGGTGGAGGCACTAAAGAGAGATGGAGATTAAGAAAAACCTTCAAGTTCTAGAGCTCAAGAGGGTTGTCATCATTCAATTCTAAAATTTTGAAAGTAAACATCACTATTCTCAAATAGCTCTGCACATCCAAGGATAATCCTATAGTCTTTTTTGCCTATAATCCTTTAGTGATAGGGGAGATAAGTAGAGGTAAACCAAGGTTCTACTCTTGCACTGACCAGAAGGGACCCTAAGTATTATACACCTGAGTCAAGCAACCTGACTCACTAAATGCACTGTTTACTGACTATATGGCTTACAAGTTTGAGATTTCAGGATGATCTGAGGCTCCAACAATTTCCTATAGCCACTCTTACTACAGTTCCTTTCAAATTAGAGGCCTTGTAAGCTTTCTCAGCTTATAGAGGGATAAGGGAGGAAGCCCAGGCAGCTATATGGTCCCATGGAAACACCTAAAACCAATTGCTGTTTGACTGACTCATAGCAACCCTGTAGGACAGAGTAGAACTGCTCATAGGGTGTCCATGGCTGTTTTAGTTAGCAGTCACATACCTTAACAACAGCACCTTCAGGGAAATACAGGGTTCCTGAATCAGGAGATAATGGAACGAGCAGATGCTGGAACAGAAAAACTAGACCTGGATCAACTTGTCCTTGCCTCAGGTGTTCCAGCGTGGTCACCCGGTCCCCACCCCCCAGCTTGCCTTCACAGAACCTCAGAATAACACCTCAGAGTTACGGAGACATCTTCTGGAAGAACCTTAGTCAAAGACCCAGGTAGGTTTTGTGGAACGATATAAGGACTGAAGGTGGGGAAGTAGTAAATTTTTAAACTACCATAAAATCAAAGTGTCCATCAGCAGAAAAATGGCTAAAGAAACTGTGGTACATTCACATCATGCAGTATCAAAAATTCATGAAATATTGCACAACATGGATGACTCTAGAACAAATTATGTTGAGTGACATAAGTCAGTCCTAAAAGGACACTTATGATATAAAACCACTAATATAGAAAGTGAAGGAATGGTTTTATACATAGAATCATTTTTAGAGTTAACAAGGATCAGATGGGAGAAGCAAAAAATCGAATAGATGAAGGGAAAGACAACATATAATAATTTTTATTAGATTTTGTAATTAATTACATTGACTAGTATCAATTGTTATAAAACTAAATATTTATGCATGAATGAAAATTGAATATGATTTGTAAACTTTCATACACACACAAGCCACATAGTAATAAGCCCCAGGGAAGGGTAGATTGCCTCACTACCTAATCCATTAGAGAAACAATATGGGTGGGGGTATCCTTCCTGCAATAGCCTACTTTTTTTCATTTCACAGCTCCATCTGGATGGAGGAACAGAACATTCCACCTATACTGGTAGGATAAATTATAGATACTTCTGTTAAAAATACACCCACAGACATTGTCCCCACTCTTAACTCCTATTAACCTCATCCCTCTGATGTCCCCAACCAATTCACAGACACTAGGTCCACCTTTCTAAGAGTCAGTTTTTGTGTTTTCTAGATCATAACCATATTTTTGTGATCTGGTTTCCCCTGACTCCCTATTTCAGCCAAGCTCCCCTGTGAAACCTATTTTGCTATACCTCCTTTTCCCATCCTGTGACACAGAAAGCCACAAGTTGCTTCCAGGCTGGCCTGTACATGCCTGAGGGGCTCACACCCCCCGAGATGCTTTGCAGAAGAAGGAAGCCACGTTTGATGGGAGTACAACAGGGACCTGGTGGCATCCCAGCCCGGGTCAGAGCTGTCACCTTTCACCTGGAGGATCTGAGGAGGCGCCAGGGACTCATTGATGAGTGAGGAGAGAAAACTGTACTCTGGGAGTCAAGCCAGATCTAAGGGTGGGATGGTTTGAGACAAGAATAGGAAGGGTTAAGAATTTTGAGGGGATTGAAGATTGTTTGGGGATGAGCCATAGGCTTGATGTTAAAGCAGAATATCCATAATATAAAAAGGAGCAGGGGGGTGAGGAATAGAGGATGAGCCATATGAGCTGGACCAAGTGGAAACTTACCAGTTGGGAAAATATACCATAGAACTGGAGGACAGTGGGGAATAGGAGTCACCACTGGGTCTCCCGACTAAAAATACTTAAGTATATGGGGAATAGAAAGTTGGGAGTAGAGAGTCAGATGAGGGGAAAACACCCCTAGGTCTCAGCGGGAAGTATTGTAAGCAGAAAGGTGACAAATGGGAAAGGCATGGAATCCAGATACCTCTCCTAAGTCTAAGGTCTCCACAGACTGAAGAAGGCCCAATGGGGTGGCTCTGGAGCAACCTCTGAGCCCCTGGGGCCTGGTGAAGGCAGCCCAGGATTCCTAGGCACCACTGACTACTCTAGTCTGGACAAGGAGAGAGCTCCTTTTCTGCAGGAAGAAGACGGCTTCCTCACTCCTGGTAGGGCTCAGGTATGCTTAGAAAGGAACTAGGTGGTGTCGTGAAGGGGGACATCTACCCTAGTCTTGCATGAAAAGACAAGGAAAACTTGTCTTAAGATTCAAGAGGAACAAAAATAAAGTAGGTTAGAGCTGAGACTGGAAGTTTGGAGATTAGGAAATCTGCAATCTGTTTCCATGCTTCCTTTACCCCCTTTTCTCTCAGCTGCTCTGGTCCCCCTGGAGTCCCCTGGGCCAGGAAGAGTCTTGCTTTGCCAGGGGACAGAGCTTCCTGGCCTCCTACAGCACTGTCCCAGCCTGTAGGACCCCGCTTCACGGGCTGGGCAGGGAGGAATTTGAACGTGAGGAATAAGAAGCTTCCTGCCCAAAGGTGACAGGGCTGCCTCCAGGACGCCAGACAAGTCCCTCCAGTTGACATCAAGGCATCTGCTGGCTTCTCCATTCTTGAATTCGACGAGAACCACCCCTGTGGACTCCCATCCCAGCTCTTCCCCATCACAGGGGCTCTCCAAATCCTGCTTTCCGGCATGACCTGCTCCTAGCATTATGTTTTCTTCTCGTTGTTATTTATTAAAGCAGTCAAGTTGTGCCCAGACGTGTCGCTCTCTTTATGAAGCAGAGGTGGAAGACTAATGAGGAAGGAGGGTTCCTTTCTCCTTCTAAAGGGTCTAGCTAAAGCAAAAGGTGACAGGCCTCCCAAATTCAGGAAAACGTGCTGCCCAGTCTCTGGTTCCCGGCCCAGCCCCTCAGCTCCTAGCACCTGCTCCCCACCCCCGGGCGCCCGCCAGCCCAGCTTTGCCTCCGTAACCCCGGACTCCTGCCTCTCCGCAGTGGGGCTCCCTTAGACGCTTCCCAGAAGCCGGCTCCGGCCGCGCGACTCCAGGCCCGGGGGAACCCAGACCCTCCGCCCAGCGCCCCACCGCACGCCGTGCCTGCGCTGACCCCGCGTTCCCCTCCGACCCCCATCGCCTTAATTGGGAGGCTCCGCCCCGTACGCAGTGACGTAAGACGCTGCTGTCAGTCGGCGCCGGGGGGAGGGGGGTCGGTGTGGGGTAGAATGGCCGCTGCCGCCGTCACCCGCGGGACCCCGGGAGGTAAGAGCCAGGGCTCCCCGCCGGCCTCTCCGCCCCCGCGCCAGGGGGCGCCGCTCCACTCGGTGCCCTCACGGAGCGCCGCGCAGGGGACACCAGTCCCCGCTGCCGGTTCGCCCTCACCTCCCCGCTTCCGTCCTCCTCCCCCGCGCCAGGGGGCGCCTCTCTGCCTAGGGTCCCGCAGCGGGGCTGCCCGCGCCTGAGGCCGGCTGTCCATGGGGCCCCGGGACCCCACACCCGCACTGCCCCTCACCGGCCGCGTGTCCGCGGACTTTGCCCTTGGCTGCTCCCAAATATCCCTCTGTGAAGGCAGGACCTCCCCCCCACCTTAGGGGCCCTGTGAACCAGGTTCCGAGTCAGATGTCGCCCCAGGACCCGCAGGCCACACTCTGCTCCCACTCCGCACCCTGGCACGCTGCCTTCAGGGAGTGCGCACCTGCGCCCCGGGGCGGAGTCCTTGCTCGTACTGGGCTTCAGTGCCCTGGGTTCCTTGGACAGGCCTCCTCCCCCTCTGCATCCCAACACCTGGCGGAGCCCGCGTTCAGCCTCCTCCGGCTTCCATCTGTTCCCTGCGAGGGTGGGGGCCTCGCGGAGCTAGGGTGGCGGTGGGATAGGGCAGGCCCGAAGGCCAGGGGAGGCAGTGGCATTTGCAAAAAGGGGGTACACAAGGTTTGTCAGTCTAAGGACGGAGGGTGGATTGTCCTTTGGGTGGAAAAGCTGGGTTCTGGGTGTCTAGCCCAAGTTCTACGAAGCCCTGAGCAACCGGGAGGGGAGAGAGTAGGTTAGGGTTTGTTATCAGATCTGCCCTTCCCATTGGAAAAATCAAATCGAAAAGGAACTCAGGGTGTGTCTTCTAAGGCCCTGCTCTCATCAGCATTCATACTCTGGCTACCAAAGGCCCTGAATCCCAGCTCCCAAGGCAAGCCTAGTGTCTCTGAGGCACTGCTCTTCCCCCGTCTCCCTCTTCCTGATTCTCAATTTTTGAGTCCCCGCTGGTGTTGGTTCCTACCACCATGTCTGCTTTCTCCCTCATCTCCATTCTTGGTCTCTGCTCTCACATCATAGCCTAGCCATTTAATCTTTCTTCCTTTTCCAGATGTTCCGACTCAAGTTTTGTCAATTGTCTCTCCCCACCTCATCCTGGAATAGTGTGGGGGCTTCCACCATGACCTTGTTCTCTCCCTTCCCAGCACAGACTCCCCCTCCCCCCGGCCCCTCAGGCCGGGGGTGACCTTGCCCCCTGGAACTCTCACCATGAATACCAAGGACACCACTGAGGTTGCTGGTGAGTTCACACGCCAGTGTCCTAGTTTGCACATAGCCTTTTTCCTCTCTAAACTGGGGACCCTCTAATTCTTGCCTCCTTTGCTCTGCTACCCTTGTCAAGGCCTCAGTTTCCCCCAGTCCTCTGAATTACTTTCAGTCCCTTTTCCTTGGGTTATCACAGGGATGTCAGGGGTGACCTACTATGCCTCCCTGTTTCCTCTAGAGAACAGCCACCACCTGAAGATCTTTCTCCCCAAGAAGCTGCTGGAGTGCCTTCCTCGCTGTCCACTGCTGCCTCCAGAGCGGCTGCGGTGGAATACCAATGAGGTGTTCTGGGGAGGAGGGGGAAAAGGTTGGGGGTCAGCACATTGTATTATAGACTCTTTGGAGGATGAGGACAAGGGCTTCATGAACATTCATTCCTTGGTGCATGTGCTCTCTTACTGACATCAAGTCAGAGCCAGCTCACAGCTGACCCACCACTGGGTTTATAAGACTAGACATCACATAAGAGAAGATTGTCTGTCCTTCTCCTATGGACTTTTTGGGTTAGCAGTACAACTCCATACACACTACACCACCAACACTCCTACTTGGCATGTGTACCTAGAGGAAATAATGCCTGCCATCTGTAAAGGAATTGTTAAGCTTGGGCGATGTACTAAGCACCTGAACATTATCTCATTTAGTTCAGTAATGATGCCAGGGGTAGGCACTGTTGTTATATCCATGATACAGGTTAGAAAACCCATTGGCCTCCTATGCTTTATATAACTTACTCCAGAGTTTGTGCTATTAGCTACCACCAATTCTCCTTTTCTGGATTACAGAGTCTTTCTGCTAGATATCACTTATGTTCTTCCACACAATGTGTTGTATGTTGTTTTTGTTATGTGCTTTCGAGTCAGAACCAACTCATAACTGACCCTCCAGTGAGTTTTCAGAGGCTATAAATTACACAGAAAGAAATTACCCATCTTTCTCCTGCAGAGTAACTGGTAGATTTGAACTTCCTGACTTTGGGATGGCAATTCAACTTTATACCCACTAGGCCACCAGAGCTCCCTATATGGCATGTAGTGGTTGATAGTTACTGGTTTGATATTAGGAGGAAGCCATCAGCAAGAGGAGGTGTGTGTATATTATTATTGTAAATGCTCTAGGGCCTTCAGGAATGACCACGGAAGGGTGGTCATTAAGGCTTTGTAGAATACCTGGAAAGGGGCTTGATCTTTCTGTTGTCTAAGGTTTCCAGATACAGAGACATGTACACACAGCACTTCATGCTAACAGAGGACTCCTGGTCAGAAAGTGAGTATTAAAGACACATTTGGAGATGAATCTATGGACCAGACAGGAGTAGGAGGTACAGCATATGTAAGCAATGAGAACACTGGTTCCTTAGGGAAAAATCTCAGAACCAGGCCTGGGAATCTGGAATTATTTGTAGTTTCAAACCATTGAGGAATGGCATCCACTTCCTAAACAACATGCCTCTGGAAACTATGAACTTTGATAAATGATGATAGTTATAGAAAGGCTGCAAGCCTTTTGTTCATAGGGTCGCTATGTATGAGTTGTGTTCAACTCAACAGCAATCAACAACAATGACAACATGGCCCAGAGATAAAGATTCCAGTTGGAAGAGAAGTGGAGATTATAGTGTTTTGTCTGCAAGGAGTCCTGGAACTTGTAGAAGGGTGGGGATCCTCCCTGGGCCCAGATACCCGGAAGCATGCTCCACTAGTTGCCAACACTCAGCAGGGAGCTAGACTCTGAAGGCTTGACTCAGGCCAGGCTGGGGCTCCTTATTAAAGGGACACCTAGCTGAGCATGTCTTCTCCCACAGGAGATTGCATCGTACTTGATCACCTTTGAAAAGCATGATGAGTGGCTATCCTGTGTGCCAAAGACAAGGTGAGAATGTTAACAGAGAGGCTCAGGGGCCCTATCCCAGAGCTCTAGGCCAACTTTCCCCTTCCCAGGCCTCAGAATGGCTCCATCATTCTCTACAACCGAAAGAAGGTGAAATACCGGAAGGATGGTTACCTCTGGAAGAAGCGGAAGGATGGGAAAACCACCCGAGAGGACCACATGAAGCTAAAGGTCCAGGGCATGGAGGTAGGAGAGTTAGCGTCCACTCTTCGCTGCCTACTTCCCCCAACAACCCAACTCTAGGATTTAAGCCATGCCTCCCCCCAGAGACACGTGCTTAGTTCCCCCATTTATCTCGCATTTCCCTCAGAGCTCCAGGTAATGACCTCTTTTCCCCAAGTCCTTGTTCTTTATCTCCAACCATCCTTGCACTGCCTTCTGATGTCTGGACTCCTATACCCCAAATCTGGCCCTCCTCTGGTGCCCAGGCCCCACCATTCCTTTCACCCCATTCCTCACCTATGACTTTGGCTGTTGGTGTTTGAAATAATTGGGAAATAGTTGGGGGTGGAGAAAAGGTCAAAGAAGAATTGGTGGAAAGATTGGGATTCCTGCAAAGGGACTGAACAGAGGAAGAGATGGGGAGCAGACTAGCCCTCCCCCCACCCCAGCCTGTCTCCTGGCAGTGTCTCTATGGCTGCTACGTTCACTCTTCCATCGTCCCCACATTCCATCGGCGCTGCTACTGGCTGCTCCAGGTAAGGATGGAAGAGCCAGACTTCCTGATCTTTGAGGGAACTGGGATCCTCATGATGGGATGAAGTGAGAAGGTGGCTAGACCTTGGTAGGGAAGAAGAGAGAAAGGACAAATAATGGAGAGAGCCAGGAATTAGGGGGGAGGTTGGGAGCTTCCTTGGGAAAATGTGAGGCCTATAAAGCTGAGCCCCTGGTCCTCAGGACCCCACATTCTCTGTATGTACACCCTTGTATTCTCAGAACCCTGACATCGTCCTTGTGCACTACCTGAACGTCCCAGCCCTGGAAGATTGTGGAAAGGGCTGCAGCCCCATCTTTTGTTCCATCAGCAGCGACCGCAGAGAATGGCTGAAGTGGTCACGGGAGGAGCTGTTGGGACAGCTGAAGCCCATGTGTAAGGCACAGGGCTAGGGGTGAGCTGCATAGGGAGCATGGAACCCAGAGTGTTTCAAAGGAGCCAGGGCTCTGTACCCAGTCTGTGAGGTAATATTTCCCTCCAAGCCAGGATGATGCTTTTCTCCAGGGGTGCTAGGATTCCTGGTGCATTTCAAGCTGTGAGCTATATGTCTGAGCAGGCTGGGGCTGCTGGCCTCTTCACTCAGCCAGAAGTCATGGAGCTTGGAGGAGCCATCAGGGTATTTTGGGGGCTGTTTTGTGGAGTTCCCACAGTACTTCCCCACAACCCCAACTTTCCTCTAGTTCATGGCATCAAATGGAGCTGTGGGAACGGGGCAGAGGAGTTCTCTGTAGAACAGCTGGTGCAGCAGATCCTGGACACCCACCCTACCAAGCCCGCACCCCGAACCCATGCCTGTCTCTGCAGTGGGGGCCTTGGTTAGTGACCCCTGACTCTGATGCTGTCTTCCTGTCTGTTCACATGGCACTCACACAAGCCAAGGGGAATCTGTATTGGTGGGATTTGCATGCTGATTTGCAAGTCTTTTGCATTTCCCAGAAAGATGGGCCACAGGAGCAGAGGCCTTACCATCGGGGTACACACTGGTCCTTGCTTCTTTCATTATAATGTCCCAGTAGCTTGTGTCCTTTCCTGCTTTCTATACATTACAATTCCTGGCCAACCAGCACCACCAGTTAAATCCAGCCATTAACTTATTCCCAGTTGGCATCACCTTGGTTCTGCCCTTTGTCCTTTCTTCCTTCGCCCTTACCTACTTCAGTGAATAATGCTTGTTCAGTACTTGGGGTGGGGGTGGGGGATAAGGGGAGAGGGGGGGAGGAGGGGAGGAGAGGGAGAGCCTCAGCTGCCCCCCAGTGGTCACAATCAGTATTATATATATCTAAAGGCTTCCTTCCAGTAGAGGAATGGTTGTTAAGTGGGACAGTTGTTAAGGGTCCTGCTGAAAATTAAAAGGTTGGAAGTTTGAACCCAGCAGCCACTCCTAAAAATTTCTAGCCATGGAAACCTCTGCCCTTCAAGGTTGGCAGGGGGGCTTGGGGCCCAGGAAGGGACAGCTGTCTTACCCCTTCTTCCTTTTCCCAACCCCTCTTTACTCCAGGTTCTGGGAGCCTCACTCACAAATGCAGCAGCACAAAACATCGCATCATCTCCCCAAAAGTGGAGCCCCAAGCACTAACCCTGACCTCTATCCCCCATTCCCATCCCCCTGAGCCACCTCCACTAATAGCCCCACTGCCCCCTGAACCCCCCAAGGCACATACTTCCCCATCCTCTTCCTCCTCTTCCTCCTCCTCAGGCTTTGCCGAACCCCTAGAGATCAGGCCTAGTCCTCCTACCTCCCGAGGAGGCACTGCTATTCTCCTGCTGACAGGACTGGAGCAGCGGACAGGGGGTTTGACACCCACCCGGCACTTGGCTCCGCAAGTAGACCCCAGACCCTCCATGAGCTTGGCTGTAGTTGTAGGCTCTGAGCCCTCGGCCCCACTTGCTCCCCCTAGCCCTGCCTTTGATCCTGATCGTTTTCTCAACAGCCCCCAGAGGGGCCAGACATATGGAGGTGGGCAGGGAGTAAGCCCAGACTTCCCTGAGGCAGAGGCCACACATATCCCTTGTCCTGCCCTGGAGCCCGCTGCTGCTCTGGAGCCCCAGGCAGCTGCTCGGGGTCTCCCCCCACAGTCAGGAACAGGTGGAAGAAGAGGAAACTGCTTCTTCATCCAAGATGATGACGGTGGGGAGGAATTCAAGGCCCATGGAACTGCCCCACCTGCACCTTCGCCCCCTCCTTCACCCCCACCCTCACCTGCGCCCTTGGAGCCAGCAGGCAGGGCAGGAAGAGGGGAAGCCTTGTTTGGAGGATCTGGTGGGGCCAGTGAACTGGAACCCTTCAGTCTCTCATCATTCCCAGACCTTATGGGAGAACTCATCAGTGATGAAACTTCAAGCATCCCTGCCCCAGCCCCTCAGCTCTCTCCTGCCCTTAGCACCATCACGGACTTCTCCCCAGAGTGGTCCTATCCAGAGGTGAGTCTCGGGCCTTTCCCCTCCTTTCTCAGTCTCAGCTGGTTCCTAGGTTCTCAAAACCAGCTGTATCTACTATAGTCCCTTTCCTCCCCCTCTAGTCTATGACCTAGGAAACTTTGGTGCCTAGTGATAATGAACTGTGCTGCCAACTCAAAGGCATGAGGTTCAAATCTATCAGCAGCTCAGTGGGAGAAAGATGAAAACCCTCTAGAGGGCCAGCTATGGGGCTATTGTGATTCAACATACATAACAGTCTATGACCTAGTTTAACTCCATTTTCCTGGATTTTCTGTTTTCTTTTCAACCTCTGTTTTTACATAGAGTATAGCATCTATCTTGTTTCCATTGTCCACACCACTCACTAACTTTTGCTCCCTTCCTTCTCCTCCTTCTATGTTAACCATACCAGTCCCTCCAGGAGCTCATTCTCTTGATGACTGTTCTGAAGGGAAGGGAACTGAGGCTTTTCGCTTAGAGGAAAAAAAAGCATAGCTTGGTGTGATTTTAGGTTAAGTTGCCAGCAGTGGCAAGAAGTTCTGTTTTATGTTGCTACAGAGAGGCAAAGCAGAAACTACACTGGAGATAAATTAGAAAAAAGGAAAATAAGCACTTCCTCTTGATGAGAACTCTCTGCAAATGAGTTAGACTTGCGGGAAGCAGGGAATTCCCAGTTTCTGGCAGATTCAGATCAAGATTAGGAAAGTCCTTGGCTGGAAGGTAGAGGAGGAAAAGATAGACAAGCTGACCTCAGTCCACTGTGTCCTGTTAGACCCTGACCCTGGCACACAGCTTGGTTTACAGTAGATACTGCTTACGGGTATGAGTGGGAACCCTGGTGGTGGTGTTTATGGGGAGCTATGCTCCTCAACCAAAGGCGGCACCTTGGGAAAGAGATACACAATCTCCTCTTTGCCATTTATAGCCACAGAAAACCCACTGGAGGGTCAGCTTTGAGTCGATTCTGACTTGATAGAAATGTGTCTCTTTGAGGTTATGAATGAATGACTGAATGAACATGTTTTCCCCTCACAAGACTGTGACCTCTGTCCACAGGGTGGGGTCAAGGTGCTCATCACGGGCCCATGGACTGAATCCACTGAGCATTACTCCTGTGTCTTTGATCACATTGCTGTGCCAGCCTCACTTGTCCAGCCTGGTGTCTTACGCTGCTACTGTCCTGGTATGAGGATTGGGAACAGCAGTGCAAGGGAAGCACTGGGAATAAATGACATTGTGTTTATTATTCCAGAGAGGAAAAGGCTCTCCTCCAGCCCTAGGCTAAGCCCCAGTTGCCCTAGCAAGTGGATGTGCTCGGGCTCAGTTGTCAGGTGGTCTAGGTTCTGGTCCAAGAAACCTACTCATTAGCTGCCTACTGACCTCAGAGAAGTCAGAGGCTTTCATGGGACCCTAGCCTCCCTTTCTGTAAGTTCAGACATTTGGGTGAAGTCATCTGTCTGTCTGTCCTGGCCATCTGTCTCAACTGGAGCAAAAGTCTCTGATTCTGATCCCAGGAGCTCTAGGGAAAATAAGAAGTTAGAGATGTTGATGATGTTGATCTCCTCAGAACAGAAGGACACTGCTTTTGGACCTGTGCTGTCTGACAGGGTAGTCACTGACCATCTATAACTATTTCATGAAAAATTTTCTCATTTGAACCAACTACTTAACAAATACGTAAGGGCCACTTGGGGTAGTGTTACCTTAGTGGACAGTGCATATACAGAAGGTTTCCATCCCTTTGGAGAGTTCTGTAAACACTAGATAAGACTTCATTGCTCACCTAGACTCTTAAGGGGTTTATTCTCCCACCAAATTGTTTGTAAAATACAAGTATCACTTGACCGTCAGCTTCCAGACCTTGTTGCTAAGGAATAAACATCCCTAGCAACAGGGTCTCAATCTAAGCAGTCACTCTAAGGGTAGGAGTGGGAACTCTGGTGGTGTAGTTCCTAAGGAGTTATGCTGATACACCCAGTGGCAGTGCCTCCTTGAGATTTACTGCCTTGGAAAACCCACTGGAGGGTCAGCAGGTATTTGTTCTCTAGATACCAGAAAGCCATTGACACCACAGCTTCTTGGACCATAACACCTGAGTTGCTGGGGGAAGAATGGGAAAGGGCCCAATGTGGAATGACCACTTGTGGCTCTGACGCAGGAGGCCAGGAAGGAGCCAGGGAGAGAGAGCCTAACTTGCTCACACTGTCCTCCCCAGCCCATGAAGTAGGGCTGGTGTCTTTGCAGGTGGCAGGGCGGGAGGGGCCCCTTTCTGCCTCTGTGCTCTTTGAGTATCGAGCCCGTCGTTTCCTGTCGCTGCCTAGCACTCAGCTTGACTGGTTGTCCCTGGATGGTGAGTACCTAGCATTCTGAACCCAAGAGCCCAGCTCCACAACCTGTAAGCCTCAGTACACACTTCTAAACCCCTCAGGAGTCAAGCAGCTGCTACTGCCTAACCCCTAGCCGACCCCTCATTTTTTCAACATTTCATTAGACATTTCCTTCTTTCCCCCTGCAAGTCTTAGATTTCACCTTTATTTGTCATCTTGCTCTGTCCTCTCCACCCTATAGAATGGAAACTAGGCAAGCAAAACCAACATGACAATGCAGAATCTAGCGCAACATGTATGTGATACATATGTCTATGCACACACATTTAGATTTTTCCCTCATAAAGGTATGTTCATTATAGATAGATTGGATATTATAAGCAGAAAACTATTTTTATTACTACTCAGTAATATCTTCCATTGTTAATATTGTTGAGTACTTTCTCTCTCTCTCTCTCACTCACACACACACGTGTACATATTTGTTCATTTAAATCAACTGTTCTTGTTCCTGGTACTCTCTCTTCCTGGGGTTTAGAACTGTTCCCATCTGTACCTGTTTCTTTTTTAGGTTTGTGTTTCTCTTTTTTGTCCTCTTGGTGTCTCTGCTGTTGTCTCTCGGCTTCCCAGTTCTGCTGTCACCCTGGTTAAGTTTCTCTGCCTTCCTTCATGCCCCCTTCCCGCCTTGGGGCTTCTGGCCCTGATTTGTCTCATTGTGGAAGTGCGCATGCCACAAAGAGCCCATGTTTGTGCTAGGCCACCTGTCTCTCAGACTTAAGTCGGCCAACCTTTGGAACTTGCCGGATCCCTCGGTCCTGTCTTCTCTTTGTTCTGCCCTATGGCTGTGCATCATTTTATTTCTCTTTTCCTGTCTTGTGTCTGTTCATTTCTCCCATGGATCTCCTCCTTCACTCTTCTCTCCATTTCTTCTTGACTCAGTATCTTAGCTGCCTCTTCTTCATACTTTAATTGCTTGTTCGTTTCTATCCCTCAGCACTTTCTCCCTTGTGCTCATTCTTCTAATGTTACACCTAAGTTTCTGCTCACTAGTGTGCTTTCTACCCCCAACCATCATCTTGATGCCTCCATCCCCTTCTAACCCTCCTGCTTTAGTCCTGACATCTCAGCACATCTACAACTTCCACTCTGCCTCTCGTCCCATGGCTCGGATCCCCTCCCACTTCCCCTCCTTGTCCTTGTATGATCTCAGGAGAGGACGGATATAGCTTGGGGTGTGTGCGCGCTTGTGTATTTGTGTATGGGGGGGGGGGAGAAGAGGCATGGACATGGTTATTCATCTCTGTCACCTGCCCCTCCCCCCACCCCCTTTGTGGACAGCTGCGGGGGGCTGGGAGGAGGGGGCAGTGCTTTCAAATCTCAGTCCCTGAGCTCTTTTGGCCAGTGATCAGAGATTAACTGAGAGGAGGGACCCTGGACTCCTTGAGCCCTAGAATGGGGGACAAAGGTAGTGTCTGGGGAAGAATTAACATTTTACTGGGGTGAGGGAAAAGGCAGAAGAATGCATTTATGATGTAATTTGGAGCAAATGGGGGTTCAGTGGCTGTTTTGGAATTCCAGCCATCTCTGTGTCTTCAAGGATACAGTTGTGGAATCTGGTTCGAGCTAAGTGGGTAGGACTAAGGTTTGAGAACTGACTCCTGGTGGGCTTTATTTAGAAGGTATGTGGGTAAAGGAGCTTTTGTTTAAGGGAAGAGGAAGGAACATAATTCCATGTCTTCACTTCCCAGATCCTGGGGCAGGTCCAGTGTTGGTGTTCAGGGAATCACCTAGACCCTGCCCACTCACATTCCCATCCCCATTCCCCCTAGACAACCAGTTTCGGATGTCCATACTGGAGCGGCTGGAGCAGATGGAGAAGCGGATGGCTGAGATTGCAGCAGCTGGGCAGGCGCCTGGCCAGGTTTCTGACAATCCTCCAATCCAGGTACTTCCGCTAGGGTGTTTCACTGGCGGGAATAAGGGAAGCGTCTTCCTGAAGAAAATGGCTCTAATGTCTCACCCTCTTTACTCTAGAGTCCCCAGCCTCCTCACCTAGTCCTCCCTTCTCCCTGCCGTCACCCTGCTCCCACCCCTGTCCCATGGCAAGAGTGGCTATTCTGGGCACCCTTTTGGCATGACAGGCTTCAGACTATTTCTGGTCTGAAGAAAGGGTGGAGGTAAAGGAGGGTGGAAGAGGGGATCAAGAGTTGGGCTCAAAGCTTTGTAGTTCACAAGTCTCTGAAGATGAGCACTAGGGAAAGGCAGAGGAACTCCGAGTTCCGAGGGGGAGAAGCCATCTGTGGATAGACTGCTAATCCAAGTGGATGTGACACACAACATGGGTGGGGGAGCTGACTGCCAGGGATGCCGTGGGAGGCTGGCTGTGGGCATGGAGGACACAGAGGCTAGAGAGGAACTCGGATTGGGAGAATGGATGGACTGGTGGTGGGAACCTAGAGCAGAAAGGAGTGGGAGTCAGGACAAGGTAGTCAGAGTCCAGGAAGACACATGTTGGATGGCCAAGGCTATCCCAAACCAGGGGCCACTCTGTCCGGTGTCTTGCTTAAGGGTCTGTGTGTACTGCAGGATGAAGGCCAGGGGCCTGGGTTCGAGGCACGGGTAGTGGTCTTGGTAGAGAGCATGATCCCACGCTCCACCTGGAGGGGTCCTGAACGTCTGGCCCATGGAAGTCCCTTCCGGGGAATGAGCCTTCTGCACCTGGCTGCAGCCCAGGGCTACGCCCGCCTCATCGAGACCCTCAGCCAGTGGCGGTAAGGAGGATCATCAGGGAGGTGGCTGGACAGAAGTGCCAGGGGACTGAGGAGCAAACTGTAGGACCTAGAACTCTGCCAAGAGGGAACTGGGGCCACTGTGGGAAGAAGGGGCTGGAAGAGGATTTGATATTTTGACTTCATCTCTTCAAATTTATGAAATCTCACTGCCTCATGCCTCTTAGAGCTCCCAGACAGCTTGTTTCTTCCTGGATATTCCTACTTAAGACTGTTTTCTTCCTGACTGGGCTCTGTTGTCTCTCTCCCTAACCATTCAGGAGTGTGGAGACTAGAAGTTTGGACTTAGAGCAAGAGGTTGACCCGCTCAACGTGGATCACTTCTCTTGCACCCCTCTGGTGAGGATGCAAGGGCTGTGCAGATAAGGACAGGCTTCTAAAAGATGCAGAGGACAGGGGAGGGCTGGGTCCAAAGCCAACTGGAGAAAGGGCCTAGCCTCATCTTAACCTCTATCCCCACCTCCCACTTCCCCTTCCTTGCCCTCAGATGTGGGCTTGTGCCCTGGGACACCTGGAAGCTGCTGTACTTCTTTTCCGTTGGAACCGACAGGCACTGAGCATTCCTGATTCCCTGGGCCGCCTGCCACTCTCCGTAGCGCATTCCCGGGGTCACGTCCGCCTTGCTCGCTGCCTGGAGGAACTGCAGAGACAGGAGGCTTCCATTGAGCCCCTAAATGCCCTATCATCCCCCTCCTCCAGCCCAGACACTGGTGAGGGCTGTTTCTATACTTCTTTTAGTGATGTGGGTAGAAAGACTGGCTAGGGCTAACTAACCTATAGGTTCCTCAAACCAAGGACTCAGGTGCACCTTATTCAGCCGATGGTCTTTTCAATCAGGGGAAACTGAGAGAAAAGGGGGGAGGATGGTCAGACCTGAAGGGTGGCATGCAGCAGGTGGCTCCCACCACCACACACCACCCTGAATTTCTTCCTTCACCTTCATAGGTCTAAGTAGCGTCTCATCGCCCTCAGAGCTGTCAGATGGCACCTTCTCTGTCACATCGGCTTATTCTAGTGCTCCGGACAACAGTCCTCCCCCTGCTCCCTTGCCAGCCTCTGAGATCAGTATGGAGGAGATGGTCCCAGGCCAGCTCTCTTCTGGTACCCCAGGTCCCCTACTCCTCATGGACTATGAAGTCACCCACTTCAGAGGGTCCCAGCTGGCATCACGTCCTCTCCCATCACAAGATGATGGAGCTGCCACAGAGGAAGCTGACAGTTTACCCACTGTAGATGTGATCCCGGTACTGCTTATAGTGATGGGAGCTAAGAGGGCTAGACATGGGAGCAGAATTAACAGAACATTTTACTTAGAGAGTTCTGGTGGCCTAATGATAAGGCAGTGCACTGCCAACCCAAAGGCACAGTTCAAATCCACCAGCAACTCCAAAGAACAAAAATGGGCAGGCTCCTCCTGTGTGATTTACAGACTGGAGGGTCAGCTGTGAGGTGGTTCCAACTCTTTAGCACTTAACAGGAGTAGGATGGTAGAATGGATGAGCTAAGGCAGAATCACTCTGGTTTGTTTGGGAAGGGGCCAATACATCCTTATTTTGATAGAGGCAAGGTAACCCCTTCCTTACATCTTTCCAGGCCTTGAGACTCACAATTCATTAGCCATCAGAAGCTTAAAGTTCTGGAGCGTATTTTCAGTTATTGCTGGGTTATAGGATTATTTAATTAGTTATCTGTTGATTCATCAAGGGACTTGATGGTTCTTGAGGAACCAGTGTGATTCTGGAGGGCAGGTGGGCCGGAGGGGGAAAAGTGAGCAAGACAGAGAGTTTTGACATGATATTGGATGGGGGACGATTTGCACACAAGCAAAGTAAGTCTTAAGAGAATGAACAGATGAAGGAATGAGTCAAGTGCACTTAAGCATATTTTTCTGTTGAAGCTTGTGGACATACCAGCTTTAGACATTTACTTATAGGGTTACAATAAATTAAGTTGGAGAACACAAGGAAAGTGGCTAGAAGTGTTGCAGGATCCAGGGCTAAAGCTATTCAGTGGGACAGCATGCTGCTAGGAAGCCATATACTAGTTTAGGGAAACTGAAGGAATGGCCCTTCATGACAAAGCCTGTGCTAGCTGGCTAGCACCAGGCAGACCTGGGTGAGTAGTGATTAGCCTGTATGAAAGGGCAGTGTTGGTTTTTATTTGCCCAGTTCCTGAGTTCCTATGTAGAGTTCTGTTCTTCTATCCTAAATCCTGGACAACTCCACACAGAGGGCTATATCCTCAAGTGGGAGTCCAGTAAGTACAAAAGAATGAGTCTGGACCAGTGGCTGAGAAAGATGGGGTTAGCAGGAAAAGCAGTCCAGAAGTGAGAGGATCAAAGTGTAAACCAAATCCAGCTCTGACAGGGTAGAAACCTCTGCTCCTTTGGGGCTCCATAGGCCTCACTCAGTCTCTCCCATTCAGGTGGACATGATCTCACTGGCCAAGCAGATCATCGAAGCCACACCAGAGCGGATTAAACAGGAAGACTTCTTGGGGTTGCCAGAGGCTGGAACCCCACTGAGGGAGCGGACAGGAGCCGTGGGACTCAGTGAGACGATGTCCTGGCTGGCCAGCTACCTGGAGAATGTGGACCATTTCCCCAGTTCAGCCCCTCCCAGGTGACCAGCTAAGAACAAAGCTTCAGGATTCTTTTTTAAAGGAAGATGGAAGTGGAGGACCTCCAGCCTAAGCTCCATTTTGCCTGAGGCCTCTCTGCTTTGAGAAGGGCACTGAACTATAGGGCCACTCTCTGGGGCTGTTGCAGGGAATGTCCCTTCATTCCCTGGATGGGAGAAGAGGGCCTACAGATGCTAACACCCTTTCTTCCCCCTTCCCAACAGCGAACTGGCCTTTGAGAGAGGGCGCTTGGCTATCCCTTCAGCACCTTCCTGGGCAGAATTCCTCTCTGCATCTGCCAGTGGCAAGATGGAAAGTGATTTTGCCCTGCTGACTCTATCAGACCATGAGCAGCGGGAGCTGTATGAGGCAGCCCGCGTCATCCAGACAGCCTTCCGGAAGTACAAGGTCAGGAGACAAGGATTCCCAAGCAATAAATGACAGTCTTGGTTCAGGGGAAGACTCTGGGCTTCTAGGACTCCTGGAGGAAAAGCAGGCATCCAGAAGATCTCAGATGGGGTGAAGGGTCAAGGTACCCTTGGCAAGTTGGAGGCTTGGGTCAAGAGATGTCCATTAAAAGAAGAGGTGAGTGCTGAGGTTCTGAGACTGGTCTTCTCCTTAGGGCCGACGGCTGAAGGAGCAACAGGAGGTGGCAGCTGCAGTGATCCAGCGCTGTTACCGCAAGTACAAGCAAGTAAGCCCCTTCTGTCTTGAAGGCCTGCACACACTCACCCCCAGAGCATGTGGGGTGCTACCAGAGCTTTAATTCCCCTTCTTTCTTCACAAGCTGACCTGGATTGCACTTAAGGTATCAGGCATGAGAATAAGAGCTGGGGGTGAGGCTGTGTTATGGTGATTCTGTCTGCCCATATGTGTGTGGGTTAGAGAACCAGACTGGCATCGACTGAACGTGGGGGTGCCCTGCAAGGGGTTCGGGTCTGTACCTCCACTTCAGCCTGTTTTCTTCACCCCTGTAGTTTGCACTCTATAAGAAGATGACCCAGGCGGCCATTCTGATCCAAAGCAAGTTCCGGAGCTACTATGAACAAAAGCGCTTTCAGCAGAGCCGCCGAGCTGCTGTGCTCATCCAGCAGCACTACCGCTCGTACCGCCGCCGGCCCGGGCCTCCCCACCGGCCCGCGGGCGCCCTGCCTGCGCGGAGCAAGTAGGCCGGGGGCCCCGGGGCCCCCCACTGATGCGGCCCCCCACTGATGCCCACTGCTCCTCGTCCTGCCCCGCCCGGACTCCTCCTGCGCGGGTCCCCAGCTCTTCTTTCCCTTCTCCCACCAGAGGCTCCTTTCTCACCAAGAAGCAGGACCAGGCGGCCCGGAAAATCATGCGATTCCTGCGGCGCTGCCGACACAGGTAGCTGCCCACCGTCCCGTCACCGTCCACCTCCCCGGCCCCTGACACTCAGACCCCTGGGCAGACCCTTTCTTGTCTCTTTGCAGGATGAAGGAACTGAAGCAGAACCAGGAGCTAGAAGGGCTTCCCCAACCCGGACTGGCCACCTGACCTCCCCTCCGCTTTCCACTATCCAGGGGCGTGTCCTGCAGTCTTAACCGGAGAGGGCTCTCTGGGAGGAAGGGGAGCCCCCAGGCAGCAGCTCGACCCCCTTCCCCTTCACTGGAGCCCCGCACAGACCTCCCGCTTCCTCCCCTCTCTCAAGACCGGGCCTGCACTCCCCAACCCCTGCTGCGCACACCCTCGCCCCACACACCTGCATCTTCAGCTGTGACCACAGAGCCCTGCCTGCCCCAGCTCCACCACCTGCACCCAACCTGGCCCTTGGACTTGCCTTATTTGTCGAACGCGTCTCTGAATGTAAAGGCCCCGGTCCCCGCCTCCGCCTCAGGCGCCCCTCCCGGCTCCGCATGTCCGCGTCCGTTTCCCTCCCTCCCTGTTCGTCACTCCGTCACCCCAACTCTGGCTGCCCACCGTGAAGCCAAAGGCAGGGGGTGTGTACAGGAACTCGCGGCCGCCGCGCCCGAGGGGAAGGGGTTTGTAAATAATGTACCGTACAGTCTAGTCAAGAATCTATGGCGCCGGAGCCGGCCGCGCGCCGGGGCCTCCTGCCGGCTCCATGAGCACTTTCTACGTGTGCATGGGCTTGGTTTATACGAATTGCCATTAAACATCGTTGCACCAGCCAGCCTCGGCCTCTCTCTGCTAGGCAGGGGCGGGAGGCGGGAGCGCGGCGGGTTTGCCGACAGCACCGCCCGAGCGGGGCGGGGCAAACACACAGTTTCATCCCTCCGACGTGTTTCCGGCCTTAAAGGCATTTCGCCCTTCCCTTTAAGACGCACCGCCTCCTCTCAGTCTTTCCCAAGATGGCGGACCTACTGGGCTCCATCCTGAGCTCCATGGAGAAGCCGCCCAGCCTCGGTGATCAGGAGACTCGGCGCAAGGCCCGAGGTGAGGATTCCAAATTCATAGCTGCTTTTCTTCACGCGGCTCTCAGGATCCTAGTCTTCCCTCTATGGGCGAAACCGCCTCCTCAACCATGGAAGACCCCTCAAAGGCCCCTGCAGAGCCCCCCAGAGTCCCTAAAAGGGCTGCAGAACCGCCCGCTGTTCTTAGCGGACGAAGATTGGTTACTCAAAATCTAGCTCCTCCTTCCTAGTCTTTCCTCCTACCCAGAGCTTCTGCAGCCTTTATTTTCAATTAGTTGGTGTACCTGCCTGTCCGCTGTTGTTGTGATGTGATTGGTTGGGTCCCGCCGACCCCGCCTAGCTTTACTAGGTCTCATCTCTTCGTCGGATTGGAAGATGGCGGGCTCCTCCCACTTGTCGCCACCCTAGTCACTATTCCGATTGGATTCAGGTCATGCCCATTCACAATCCTTTCGCCTTTATTGGTTATCTCAACTTAAAAAGCCTACTTAATAAATATTCGACCTTTCCTCTGACCCGCGCTAAGACCCTCCAATTGGTTACTGGGCTTTTTGGTGGCTTTATGGCCCTCCTCCAGTCTGTAGCCCTATATTTCCTAGCTGCTTAAGTGGATTGTGCTGCTGATTGGAGAGAAACGCCCGGTCTGCTCTTATTGGCCATACCCCCTCCGCGCCGCGTTATCTTGGGGGCACTTCTCTCCTGGCGCCCCGGGAGTTCAGTAAACCTGTGTTGGGCGCGGCCTGGCGGCTAGTCCCACCACCCTCCATTGCTTGTGTTATGGCATATGAATGAAGCCGGCGGAAGGACGGTTTTGGACAGGACCCCAGCTCCCAACATCACAGGCCTTAACCAAAGACAGCCCTTGTCTCAGCCCCGGGTCCCCACAAGCACGAGCTGGGCCTGGGCAGACAGCGTGCCTACCGAGAACTTAAGTGCTGCTTAATATTTCAGGGAGCTAGCCTACAGGCTGGGACTTAGACATACATCGATGAAGCGATTATACAGACATTTAATAATCAACTTGATCAATACCATGAGAGAGAATTGCCTACCCGGGATTCTTAACCTAGGGCGGCTTCTAACCTGCCAGTGGTCCAATGAGTTGGGATGTGAATAATGAGAAGACGGAGTCGGGGGTGGGGGGAAGCAATGTGTTACAGGCAGAGGATTGAGGAAGAAGAGAATGGAAAACATTATTTCATGCCACCTGCAACTGCCAAGGTCAGGATCACTAACCAAGCTTGACAGACTCGAAAGGCCTTCAGAGTTCATAGTTTAGTCACTTTCCTGAGGTGACACCATAAATGGCAGGGTTTTAAACTCCAGTGTATCTTTTGAACCTAAGGTTTTAACTATAATCGGATGTCACCTTTCCACGTGGACTCACAGACTAGTTATAAAATCAGTGGTAAAGGTGTTTTGTTTTAAGCAAGTATTCTGGAGTCATTTCAGCTGCAAGTGTGACAAGGACCAGGACTAGAACTCTGCCTTCAAGAAACTCCTCCTCTGTTAAAAAAAAAAAAACCAAAACAAACCACCTAAAAACCCAAACCAAAAGTTACATTGTGTCCTCAGCAGATGCTGGAGTGGGTGTATGAGGCAAATGCTTTTTGGGCTAGTGAAAGAAGCGTGGAAACAGACTCAGGGCAGATCTCACAGTTCGCAAGAGGAAGCAGAGTGGTCAGCAGAAAAGGAATAACATGTCAAAGAAGCAGAGGAATGAGGGAAATGGGAGGAGGTGCATTTTGTAATTGGACGGATTCAGATTTGTGAAAGAAGTGGGTTTTAAGGATTTATAAAGGGCTTAAAAAGGCAGAAGACAGGGGAGGGGCATTTCAAACTGGAGCGAGAGTAGAAAGGGTCATTTTCTCAAAGCTCCAGAGGCAACAAGATGTAGGAAGTCAGGCAAGTGTGAAGTAAACAACACCCCTGGGCCAAGAGGCAGAGGAAGTGGTAGGAGGCAGGATGGATGTAAGGAAGAGGAGATGGGTTAGGTAATGTAGTTCCTTTGCAACTACTATGGACACTTTACTACCAAAGATGAAGGCTGTCAGACCAGCCATTGCAGCAGCATCCTGCTGAACTGAAGTAGAGTGTATGTGTTGGGGCATGTTTACAAAATATATAAATTTAAATCATTTATCTCTTGCTTGGTAGACAGTGAGATGATAGATAAACTCTATGAGGCCAGGGGCTTAGTTGGTTTGCTCCCTGTACCCAAGTTCTCTGTTTATAAAGTTCTTTGTATGCAGTCCCCACTAGGATTGAGATACGTGATTCTAATCTTTGTAGCTCCCAATAAACCATGAGCTCCTGAAGAGCTAAATATATTTGAATCACCTTTGTATCCTAGGGCCTAGAGGGAGGTATTGTACATATCAATAAATGCTTAATGAATAAACAACCCTGCTAACCAGCCTAACATCCCCAGTGAACACTAGACTTTATATGAAGCCTTATAAACCCTCCCTACTCGGGCTTCCAGCCCTGGCCTCATACTGCCATTTCTCACCCCCAGAGCAGGCTGCCCACCTGAAGAAACTACAGGAGCAAGAGAAACAACAGAAAGTGGAGTTTCGTAAAAGGGTGAGAACAATTGGAGAGATCAAAGCAGCCTTCAGGAAGGACCTCCTTAAAGTTAGAATTAGAAGGTTAAGGGCTCACTTTGAAAATGTCTCAAGGGGTGAGCTCTGGTGGCCTAGTGGCAAGAAGCTGCACTGCAATCCTAGAGATGCCCGGTACAAATCTACCAGATGCTCTGCTGAAGAAGGAGGAACAATCGCCTCCTGTACCAGTCAGATCCGATTTGACGGTACACACATTAAAAAAAAAATGTGTAGTAATAAAAGAAAAAATTATAAAAAGAAAATGTCTCAAGGGACGTTAAGTCTCAAAACTTAAGGTGTAGAAGCTAGGAAAGGTGTGGGAAGATCAAGAAGGCCTCCTGGTCCAGTTGGGGGAGAGGGGTGTGGGGTGGAGTTGTCATCTTACATCTTCTTTCCTTTTCCCTCCCCCAAGATGGAGAAAGAGGTGTCAGACTTCATACAAGACAGTGGGCAGATCAAGAAAAAGTTTCAGCCAATGAATAAAATAGAGAGGAGCATACTGTGAGTGCCTCTGGGCCCAGGGACACAGGACATGGGTGTTGGGTGACTTGAATGGGCTAGCTGGAGAACCCTTGAGAAGAACCTCAGTGGCTTCTGCACTCTGCCCTCCCTTTCCAGACATGATGTGGTAGAAGTGGCTGGCTTGACATCCTTCTCCTTTGGAGAAGATGATGACTGTCGCTATGTCATGATCTTCAAAAAGGTGAAAGGCCTAATTCTCTCCCTTTTTCTGCTTACCTCACACACCTTCCCTTTGTGGTAGGGAATGAGAAAAAATATTTATATGAAACCTGCCCTTCTTCCTCAGGAGTTTGCACCTTCCGATGAAGAACTGGAGTCTTACCGCCGTGGAGAAGAGTGGGACCCCCAGAAGGCTGAGGAGAAACGGAAACTGAAGGTGAGCTACTCTGGCATCCTTGGAGACTTACCACTTAACCCCTGCAAAAGGCTGGGGACCAGTCCCTGAGCCTTGGTGCCCTCCCTCTGCACCCCTAGGAGCTGGCTCAAAGGCAGGAGGAGGAGGCAGCTCAGCAGGGACCTGTGGTGGTGAGTCCTGCCAGTGACTACAAGGACAAGTACAGCCACTTGATCGGCAAGGGTGCAGCCAAGGATGCAGCCCACATGCTACAGGCCAATAAGACCTACGGCTGTGGTGAGACTACAGTGGGGGCTCGGGAAGGCCGTGGAAGACCAGAGGACAAAGGGAGAGGATATACTGAGGCACAGGGCCCCAAACCTTCCTCACCCTCCTGTCCTTTGCCCACAGTGCCTGTGGCCAACAAGAGGGATACACGCTCCATTGAAGAGGCTATGAATGAGATCCGAGCCAAGAAGCGTCTACGACAGACACAGAGTGGGGAAGAGCTGCCACCTACCTCCTAGGCACTCCAGCTCCCTTTGTCCTCTGGGGCAGGGCAGGAAGGGACAAGGCTGCTGCTATTAGACCCCACTCCAAAGCCCCAGCTCTGAGCCACCTCCCACTGGAGCTCGCTCAGGCTGGAGGTGAGCAGGGGTTTGGATACCACTGCTGGAGCTTGGATATGTATATGGGTGGGTGGGGGTGTGTGTGTACATGTGTATGTAAGAGCCAGAGTGCCAGGTGGGTATTTAATCTGTATTATTCTCCTTGGAATTTTCTTCCCCATGTGGTTACTTCACATTCAATAAACACTGTTTGGCCCAATATCCTGGTTGGTTTGTGCAAGGAAAGGTGGGTCCTAGAGCCACTGACAAAGAGGAAGGAGAATAATTTTAAGTTGAACAGTATAAAATCACTGTTTGTATAGGTCAGAGATTGCCTAATATTAGTCTTATAAAATAAGACTAATTATTTTAAGAGCACTTTTGCTAGAACTCGATGTCCTGGCTTGATTCCTGGCTCTGCCACTTACTAGCTCTGTTACCTTGAATAAATTACTTACACTTTCTTTAGAATGGGGTAATAATGGTACTTATCTGATGGGATAATTTCAAAGATTATACAAGTCACATATGGCAAGCATTTACAACTGTTACAATTTTTGGAGACTCCATAAAAGTGCTCCAATCTTCTAGCCATTGAGTTGGAATCAACTCACAGTTGACCCTCCAGCAGGTTTCTGAGAGGCTGTAAATCACATGGGAAGAGATTGCCCATCTTTCTCCCATGGAGCTGCTGGTGGATTCAAACCACCAGGGAAGTACTAAACGTTTGAACTACAACCACAAGAGCTCCCTTGAAGTGTGTTGTTAGGTGGCATGATAGGAGTAGGAGTCTGCCTAACTTTCTTCTAAGGAGCAACTGGTGGACTTGAACTGTCTGTCTGCCTTTGGGTTGGCAGCGCAATTTTTTACCCACTAGAGCTCGCTTAGCTGCTCTAATTATTAGTCTCATCCTCATGAAGCCTATAGCACTGTGTAGGCTATTTACTTCAATTTATGGGCAAATCTGATCCAGCTACTCTCATATGTCCAGATCCTTGGTCCCCCTCCCTTTCTTCCCTTTTGAAACTGGATTTTTATTCCTTCCGTGCCTCTTCATCTTCATTCACGTATGGAACCCCTTCTCCCAACCTCAAAATGTGAACTGCCCTGTCATTCTAGATCCAGCCCAACTTCCTCTCTGAGTCCTGCACTTCCTAGCTCCCAGAGGTCACACCTCTATTCTGTCTCTGCTTCCTGCCCCCACCACTTCACTTCCCATCTCACTTGCCCAAGGACCACATTCCCTCCCCCAACAAAGAAGCAGTGCTGACTTGGTTGGCACCAGTGTTTATTTCTGGGGAAAGGCACAAGAAGGCCTATCTTCTTGTCCAGTCGTGGTGGGGTCTTAGGTCTCCAGCTTTTCACTTGGCCTTTGGATTACGGAACTTGCGTCCAGCAAAGACAGCTTTGTCCCCAAGAGCTTCCTCGATCCTAGAAGGCAGACAGGGTGAGAGTGTAGCCTCTCAGCCTAGCAGTCCCCTGCCTCTCATGCCCACTGAACCCATAGTACCTCATGAGCTGGTTATATTTGGCCAGACGTTCTGAGCGGCAGGGAGCACCAGTCTTGATCTGATAAGTGAAGAGGAATTCAGAGGGTGGTGTGGGACTGAGGCTGAGCCTAGCTCGAGGGAGCAGCCTGTGGTGTGGTTTTCAACTTAAGACCAAATTTTCCAGAAAAAACACCATAGGACTCTAGGATATAGCCATGAGTACCTGTCCTGTGCAAAGTCCCACCACAAGGTCAGCAATGAACGTGTCCTCAGTCTCCCCGGATCGGTGGCTCACCATCACCCCCCAGCCATTAGACTGAGCCAGTTTGCAGCTGGATAGAGAGAGAGGACTTGGTAAGGCCTGACAGACTAGGCAGTGGGGCTTTACCCTTGACTTTTTGATCATCCTAACAGCAGTGGACACTTTGAGAAGAGAGCTGGGGTTTTGGGTTCTTTGGAAAGCAGGAGAGGAAGGGACCCTTCCTGATCCTGAATTTAGATTCCTGAGATGGCTCATGAACTGGTAAGGTCATCAGGGTGGACAAGGACTAATTAAAACCTCCAGGTAAGGGAGTGGAGCAGTTGGTAGGGCTCGAAGGTAGACTTGGAGCTAATGGACAAAGCTGTAGCTGGAGTGGCTGGAACACAGAGAGGCTATGGTGAGCCCCAGTGTCGGGGACTCACGCCTGAATAGACTCAGTCACTGAGCCAATCTGGTTGACCTTCAGGAGCAGGCAATTGCAAGCCTTCTTCTCAACAGCCTGAGCAATCCTCTTGGGGTTGGTGACTGTGAGGTCATCTCCCACAATCTGGATGTCAACCCCCTGGAGGAATGAGGTCCAGGTGGCCCAGTCATCCTGGTCAAAGGGATCCTCAATGGAGACCACTGGGGGGGGTGGTAAGAAACAAGGTTACAAATCAGAAGAGGCCTCATAAAGGGGTCAGAAGATTGGGTGATAGGCCAAAGGACTGGAAGGACTTGAGCAGGTAGCATTAGAGGGCAGTGAAGTCAGGGGGTGAAGCAGTTACTTGTGGCTCAGGAAGGAGCAACAAGAGGTCTTACCAGGATAGTTCTTGATGAAGCTCTTGTACAGTTCCCCCAGCTTCTCCCCCGTAATGTGCCGGGCAGGGTCATCTGGCGACTTAAAGTCAAGATCATACTTCCCATTGCGAAAGAACTCTGAAGCTGCCACATCCATGCCAATCACTACCTTGTCTGGGTATCCAGCTGCCTGGATGGCTGTCTTCAGCAGCTCTAGGGCTGAGAGATGAGCAAGAGAGGATCTGAGGGTCCAAGGGGCCCACCTCTGCAGCCCATAGTCCTCCTCTCCATGGAAGCCCAGATGAGCACTGACCTTCATTGTTCTCCAAGATATTGGGTGCAAAGCCACCCTCGTCACCCACATTAGTGGCATCCTTCCCATACTTGGCCTTGATGACCCCCTTGAGGTGGTGGTAGACCTCAGCACCAATGCGCATGGCTTCCTTGAAAGAGCTAGCTCCTACAGGCAGAATCATGAACTCTTGCATGGCCAGCTTGTTTCCAGCATGGGAGCCTCCATTGATCACATTGAAGGCCTGGGAGAAAAACAGTGCACTTAGACCTGGTCAGGGGCAGTAGAAACAATCAAGAAGGGCTGGAAGATTGAGTCCTGGATCTCCTACTTACAGTTGAAGGGCCTAGAAAAAGTGATTTTGTTCCTCAGAGCCTCTTTATTTCTACAAAATAAATATAACACCTATATCCCTACAGGAAATTTTGTTGAAAATGATAAAAATTGAATACAAAGTAAAAAGCATGTACCAGATATAATAATGATAATAGTTAATAACTATCCCTTACATAGCAGCACTTCCTAAGTGACAAGTAAGGTCCCCAAGTGGTACAAATGGTCTGTGTTCAGCTGTTAATTGAAAAGTTAATAGTTCAAATCCATCCAGAAGTGCTCTGGAAGAAAGGCCAGGCAATCTCCTATAAACTTACAGCCATTAAAAATTCCATCAAGGAGCTCTGATGGCCTAGTGGCAAGAAGCTGCACTGCAATCCAGAGGCGCACAGTTCGAATCCATCAGATGCTCTGCCGGGGAAGGAGGGACAATCTTCTCCTGTACCAGTCAGATCTGATTTGACGGTACATGCACACACACAAATAATAAAATTTTTTTAAAAATCCCATCAAATGCAGTTCTACACTAAGCATGTGAGGCCACCATGAGTTTGAATTCTCTAAGTAGCAATTGGCTTAGTTTTATATTGGTTTTTATGTGCCAGGCACTACTTTAAATACATTATTACATATACAGGTAGTCTTTGTTTTAAGACAAGGTTCCATCCCATTGACTATTGAAAATTAGTTCAGACATAAGTCAATTACTTCATGTTTATCTTTAGCATTATTGTTGCTTTTCATCAACAGTATTTTTATAAGTCTGATCTTTGTCTTTAAAACAAAGCCTTGAGGGTCGACATGAGAATGAGAACATAAGCAAATTTCATGGAGCAACATTGTATGTGGTACATATTACCAACAATAAAGACATACCAACTGTGATTCATCCTAATTTAATGTGTCCTAAATCTGAATCTACTTGTATCACATTGTTGTGTACTGTTGCCTCAGAACCAACTCATAGCTCACCCTTCAGTGGGTTTTCAGAGGCACTAAATCGCACAAGACAACTTTCTTCTATGGAGCAGCTGGTGGATTCAAACCACTTGCATCTGAGTTGGCAGCATAGCTCCTTACTAGTAGGCCACCAGAGCTCACTATTATCTATCCATTGCAATCTCAAAACAATTCTATGAACAAAACAAAACAGCACATTCTGGATATGAGTTAGAACCAACTCCTAGTTGACCTTTCAGTGGGTTGTCAAGGCTGTAAATTGCAGGAGAGGAGACTGCCTATCTTTCTCCCACAGAGCAACTGGTGGATTCAGACCACTTGCTCTGGGATTGGCAGTGGAACTTCTCAAATGCTAGGCTTCCTGTCCCCCTATTTTACAAAGGAAGAAACTGAAGCACAGAGTTAGTAACTTGCTCAAAATCATTCAATTGTGAACAGGCATACTCAAGTTTAAAATTGTTCATATTAGACAATCTGCCTAATGAGTAACAATACATAGAAGCATTATTGTTGAGATTAAATTCAAAGGGCTTCCATAAAGAGAAAATATGGTTCAAGAAGGTTTAGAGACCAAGAAATAGCAAACTCCTTGTTATGTGAAGAAGTCTCATTCTAATTTGGATGGTGGATACTGGGGCAAATTAAAGTTAGAAATTGAGTTAGAGTTACTGCCTAGGAAATTAAGCTAAGGGAAGTCATGAAGGAAGTTTTGGATTGTGGGAGGGAGAGGAGGGGCTGAACCATAGTTTGAGAGATTAGGTTTCAAGAAACAGCTGCTTTGAAGGTAGATTTCCCAGAGGCAGGTCATACACCAGAAGATCTGGTGGTGCAGAGATTAAAGCTTTCAACCTAACCAAAAAAATTTGTCAGTTTGAGCCCACTGTTGCCCGTGAAATAAAGATGCGGCAGTCTGATTCTGCAAAGATTTACAACCTTGGAAACACTACAGGGCAATTTACACTCTGCACAACAGGGTCACTAGGAGTTGTAACTGAAACATGATGGGTTTGCTTTTGGCTTATGCACCCAAAGTTGGGTGGGGCAAAATGTCAGTGGGATCTGGCAGGACAGCTGCACTCACAGGCACTGGGAGAACGAGGTCTGGATTCCCAGCGAGGTCTGCAATGTGGCGGTAGAGGGGAACCCCCTTCTCTGCTGCTCCTGCCTTGCACACGGCCAGGGACACGCCCAGGATGGCATTGGCCCCAAACTTGGCTAGAAGGAGACAAATGGGAAGAAAGGATGAGAGCTTCTCTGAGTTTGAGGTCATATCCTCAAGACCCTCTCTGGTAACTCTGTGAAGAATCCACAGTCCCAAACAACTGGGCATTCATAATTCATGGATTTCTCTTTCCTCCTATACCCAAGGAGTTCTGGGAGACCCCCACCCCAGAGGAATTTGACTGTTTCAGGCAGGCATCTGAATCAATTACAGCCCATCCCAGGCCTGGCAGACAACAGGCAGCAGGAAATGCCTGTGGAATGAATATAAATCCATGAATCTCTGATGTGCCTCAAAACATGGGACAAGAAAAAGCCCCAAAACACTCAGTTAGGGGTTTGTCCCGTTTCTTCCTTCATCTCTTCCCCTTCACTCACACTTATTCTCGGTACCATCCAGCTCAATCATAAATTTGTCAACTTTTTCTTGATCCACAACACTCAGTTTCTGAAAAGGTTTGAGGAGGGAGAGCAGAGAAAGAGGTCTGATTTCTTAAGCGTCTAGGCATGTCTAGGAGAGAATTATAAAGCTATCTGGAGGAGAGAGGATGTCTGGGGCAAGAACAGCAGGGACACAGGGAGGAGGGCCAGAGAAGTAGGTCTCTCCACTCACCTTTTCCAGCAGAGCAGGACCTAGAGTCTTGTTGATGTGCTCCACAGCCTTCAGGACTCCTGTGGAAGCCAGAGAAGGGGTTCAGAGAACTCTGATCTAATGAGGGCTCTTCCTGTGCAATCCAACTCCCCAAGAACTTTAGTTCCTGTTCTCTACCTATGCTGTTTGGGTTTTTCTCACCTTTCCCCAGGTAGCGTGCTTTGTCTCCATCTCTTAGTTCCAGAGCTTCATAGATCCCCGTGGAAGCTCCGCTGGGCACAGCTGCTCTGAATCGGCCTGGAGAGAAGATTTAAAATAAACCAAAACAAACTCCCTCAAACTGTTCCTGTTGTCCTGGAGCAGATTCCTATAGCAGAGACTGGAACTGTCTCACTGGGTTTCCAAGGCTACAATCTTCATGGAAGCAGACTGCCACATGTTTCTCTCAGGGAGCAAGTGGAGAGTCTGTAGCTGAGTTCTTAACCATGGCACCACCCACCTAACCCATTGTCATCAAACTGGTTTCAATTCCAACTCTTGCTTCTAAGGCTATAAATCTTTATGGAAAGGGACAATTTCCTCCCACAGAGCAGCTAGAAAATTTGAACTGCTGAGCTTTCATTACCAGGGCTCTTTTTAATTAGCCTGGGACAGGAGGAATTGGAAGATCAGAGAGTCCACTTTAAGCATGAGGTCTCCTTTCTAAGCCAGAGACAGGAGACAGAAACTTCTGCTCTTATCTCAGGAACGAAGGTTAAAAGAGAAGGGTCTAAGAATCTAGGGGCAGACATCCCAGAGAAAAGGGCTGATAGAGCACAGAGGGCTGGAACATCCCAACAAGAACTGATTAAAAAGGCTTGTGTTGCATGTATGGTATAGTGATGAACATAGCTGCCTTCCAAAAGGCTTGTTACCCTTGGCTGTGTGCAGGTCCACTTCTACTGTGGGGTTGCCCCTGGAGTCCAGAATTTCCCGAGCAAATATTTTCTGCATGGCCATGGCTGTTGGACAAGAGGTAAGAGTGAGCATGGATAGTTGATCCCTTAAGGAATCAGAAATCCCTTGCCCTTTAAGAGTCTTCTCTACCCAAAGAAGGCAGGTGCTGGAGCTAAAAATATCCCATAAAAAGGTCACAGACCAAAGAGGCTGGCATAGCCCCTTCCCCCACTCACTCTCCTGTTCTATCCCCAACCTAAATGGGGAGAGACCTAATTAGGTTAGAACCCTTCTGAACCCCCTCCCTAACTTTTCTAGAGATCTTTTCCTTGGGAATTCATTGAGAGCTACCAGTTGGGGAAACCCTGTTTTCCCCAGATCTACAGCTAGTTAGTTATGCCTTCTCTTCTCACACTTCCAGTCAAGCAATCTATTTTTCACAGCATCCTGGCCCTCAAATCTCCTGCTATTTCCTGATCTTAAATTTCCTCCAAAGCTTCCCATATCCCAAATTCCCTGTCTGTCTCTTAAGTATCCTCCTTACAAACTGCTGCCTCTGCCTCTCCTCCCAGCCTCATTTCAGTATCTTCAGTGTCCCCAGAGGTTGTACCATCTTGCGTGCTCCACTCTCTCCTGTCTTTTCAAGCTTCCCAAGTCCCAGGTGGAAAAAATGGAGTGGAGCACGCAAGATGGACAGCTCCACTCTCACCCTTTACCGCCCTCAATCCTGGGGTTAAAGATTCAGCAGACCTGGATGTCTTCGCTGGAGGTTTGAGGTGAGATTCGAGTCTAGGTGGCAGCTGGGACAGTGTCATCTCACCCCCTCTCGGGCTGGGCATTTATCCCTGAGCCACCCCAGCTCTCAGCCAGCCCCGCCTCTCTCTCCATATTCCCCCTCCCCTTGCAGGCCACACAAGGCTAGCAGCCAAATAAATGCCCACTGAAAAAAGCCTATGTGTGAAGCCTTTGGTCCTGGAACCTGTCCCTTTCCTAAAGGCCAAAGAGGCCCCCAGCCTAATAAAAGTCTTCCCGTCTTAATTTTTTTTGAGAAGTGCAAGTGAGGGGTGTCAGATGGGAAGGGTGGTCCCTCACCCTCCCCGGGAGTAGACATCTCTTTTGCAAATGTTAAAGAGGAACCGGGTGCCCTTTAGGAAAGGTCAGGGGTAACTTGAGCTTGCAGGGTTGGGGAGGGGGCCTTCGAAGAGGGGCTGCAGGATTGACACCCACACATGCTCTGCTCACTTGGCAGTGTTGGGCCGCCTCTTGATTCAAGTGGGGCGAAGAGGACTTCTGAGCAAGCTGTTGGTTTTGTAAAAGTGAAAACCCCACCCAGAAAGTGAAAGGGTCTCACCTCTTAGGGTCCTGCTCATAGCAGCTGCTCTAGGCTTCACCCAAATGATCCTAACTCGGCCAGCAAAGGGAGAAGGAAACAAATTTACTCGATCCCTTAGAGCTGGCACTGTGCCTGCCCGAATGACCGCGCTGGGGCAGCATTTAACGTCCAGCGTAGGGATTTGAGGTCAAGAGCCCTTTTTCCCACCGACTGCAGGGCCTTCAGGAATGACGGATAATGTCGAGTCGGGAGTGGGAAAAAAATGAATGGACACAAGGAAGGAGTGGCCCACTGAGAGTCTAGTTCGGAGAGCTGCGTCTATAAGTGGGTCTCAACACCCTGCTTCAGCGGGTCTGAAGGGAGTGAGGTGAGCCTCGCCTTCTCCCTGCAGCTCCCGCTGTGCAAGCAGGGGACGGGGAGGCCCTGGCGGCCAGAGTCACGCGGCCCGAGCTCCGCGTTCTCTCCCGCTGGTGTTGAGCAGATGCACGGGGTGCCTCGCACCCGCGCCCTTCCAAGAGCCCCGCCTGCCCTGCGACGCCGGTGCTCCCCGCCCCCACCAGGATCCCCGCTCCCCCAAGTCTTCTGTCTCGTCCTCCTCTTTTATCTCTGGCCGCTCCCTCCAGAGGGTTTATTTTCACCCTGGGGTGGGGGGTGCGGCAGGCCAGAGGTCAAGAATTGGCGGGCGGGGAGCACTGCCACGTGCCCGACAGCGGCTCCACCCGAAACGGTCCAGTGACTCAGCCACAGAGGCTGTCGAGGAACAGGGGATCAGGGTGGACTCAAACGAGTCAACCCAGCTCAAGGACCGGAAGCAGCCAAGCCCCTCAGGCCGGCGCGGGCAGGACCCGGACGGACGGGTTCACATAAGAGGATCACGAGGGACTGGCCCCTCACTCTCTTCTCAGCTGGTGGTGTGCAAACGAATCGCGCACAAGTTCTTAGCATAAGTTTTCTTGATGGAAGAAAAAAAAAAAATTAAAAGCCTGAAAACAAACGAGCCGAAAGTAATAAGGAGTTTTCCCTTCTTGGAAATTTCCAATATTGGCTTAGTATTCTTCCGCCCCAAGAAGTAGTCCCATTCGTACCCACGTTCAGTGACCTTTGCAGACACAGACCAAAGGGTACGGCCCGGGATCCACGGGTGGGAATTAGGACGTGAGATAAGCCCTCGGCTGGACATGACCCCGTGAAAGGCTGTCCTCTGGAGTGGGGATGGGCAGCACCGCCTGGACAGCTACTAGAGATCCCAAGTCCTGCTAGTGCGTGGTTTCAGCTTTGAAAACAGCTGGGATGTTTTGTCAAACTTCGCTCCCTCGTTTCTTGAATTAATAAAACCAAGAGGGCAGAGGCAGGTGCGCACAATTTTGCACCCACTCTTTCACTCCATGCAAGAGACACATTCCCTCCTTCGTTAGAGGGTCCAAAGCACTCCAGCAAGCCGCTCCCCGGCGCGTGCCGCTAAGACTACAGCCGGCTCTGAACTCCAAACCGTCCCACGCGCCCTCCCTCCTGCCTGGGCGCAGGCGCAGGCGCCTCCGCTGCCGTCCCTTCCCTCCGGCAGAGGTGGGGGGGAAGGGAGAATCGTTCCGTTTAACCCTGGGTTCCCCAAACTCTTTCATTTAACTTGATAAATTTGCAGCTTGCTAATTCTTCCTTCTTTTTCTGCCCTTACTTCCTCTGGCTCCCTCCCTTCCCACCCATTGCCAAAATCTAATTTATATTCTATGGGAAGTCGAGCCTTAACCTACATAACCTCGCCTCCGTCATTTCCTCCCCCCATCCTTCTTACATTGCTTTCCATCGAACTCTGCAAGTTTTGCAATAGGGTTAGGTATTTTTTTTTTTAATTACATTTGCAAAGTTCGATATCTAGACAGGCGCGGGGAAGGGGGAAGGAAGGAATGGGCACAGGCCCCGCCCCTACCGCCTATTGCAAATAAAAATCAAGGAGGGGGGAGGAGCAGGAAGTGGCGGTGCGAGGGCTGCTGCACAGCTAGAAGAGCCTCCGCGGTCTGGACGGTAGCGCGTGCCCCGAGCTCTCTGCTTCCCCCGTCCGCCAGACCGAGGCAGCCGGAGCTCTACCCACGGCCCCAGCAACAACACTTAGAACAGTCCAATAGAAGAGACATGGCCGGGTGGAACGCCTACATCGACAACCTCATGGCGGACGGGACCTGTCAGGACGCGGCCATCGTGGGCTATAAGGACTCGCCCTCCGTCTGGGCCGCTGTCCCCGGGAAAACCTTCGTTAACATCACGGTACTGTGAAGCCTTCGAGGTCCGGGGAACTGACTAGGCTTGGACTTTGAGTGAGGGACTTGGGTGGGGGCGAGCGAGGTCTGGGGAGGGCAGCAAAAGGCTGAGCCAGTCTTTGCCCGGGGAGCAGCACGAATGGCGGCTGCACGTGAATAGGTTCCTCTGTTACCCCCCTCCCCCCCAAATCCTGCATCCCAGGCGGCTGTGTCCATCCCGCCGGCCGCCACTGCTTTCCGCGACGGGGCGTTACATCCGGGGCACAGGGCGGGGAGGGGCGCGCCTCCCAGTGCGGCGGCCCACTTCCGCCTCCTCCAGGGCGGGGCGGGCCCAGGCTGCAATTTTTAAGTAGCATTTGTGATTGAGAAGGGGCTAGGGGACCCCAGAACCCCTTGCTTCACTTCCGGCTGGTAGCACGCGCCCTTTCCACCATTGTTTCCGTTCTATGCGAGTGAGAAGCTTGGGCGCTTGGTCTGGGTCCCATGCCCGCCCTCCAGGGTTCCCTGCCCCTCCCAGCTCCGTTAGTGAGGGCGAGGCCGCCACACGCCCCCCTCGTCGGCACGTTGGACCCTGCATTCTTGTGAGGTCAGTCCCGGAAGTCCCCGCAGCTTCCCTTCCCGCCACCCAGCGGGTCCTAGGGCGGGGAACTTCTGTGAGAAGTTTTGATAGAGCTAAGTTAAGGACTATGAGGTGATTCTTGCAGTCCCTATCACCACCTCCCTAGTCCACACTGCCCGGAAGTGGGGAGGGGAGCGGAAGTTCGGAAGGGGGGAAGGGGATTTCCGGGCGGGAGGGGACCGGATGTGGGGGTTTGGGGTGTAAGGAGAAGAGGGGGAGAAAGGTTCCTTGGAGTACCTAAAAGGGAGGGCTGACTGGTCGGGTATTGTCCCGGGCACCTTTCAGAAGTTTCCCAACTCTCTTAGAGGTCCTCCAAGGGTCTGCGTCCTTTTTAGGGAGCAAAGACACCTGGACCTAAACGCTAGGTTACTTGGAGACCCAGGCGTCCGGGTCCCTACCACTCCTGCAGAACCTTTGACCAAATAAGGGCAAAGTTGCTTCTCCTGCCTCACCCGCCCCCTCCCTTCCCTTCTCTGCTTCTGCTTTTCCTGAAGGAGAATTGTGAGCATCCCCACAGTGTTCCACCCTAGTTTTTCGCCCCCCTTTAATTCCCGTTTGCTTCCTTATTAAAACCGAGATGTAACCTTTTAGGGGGATAGGCAACCCCTTTCTCCTTGTTACCATTATTTAAATTTGAAGTTCCTGGTCTTTGGGGCACAAACTTTTCCACTGCTTTTATACCCTTATCCTTCCCGTGCACACACATACACCATTTTATTAAGATTCTCAAATTTCATGGACTTGTACAAAGCAAGTACCCCTTCTGCTTAATGGCTTTAACTCTCCGAGAAGTAGGGGCTGTGTTGGGTCTTGGAAAACAGGGTGGGAACATAGGTGTACTGACTCCTTTTGATAGATTTTTGGTTCCCCTTTTAGCCAGCTGAGGTTGGAGTTCTTGTTGGCAAAGACCGGTCAAGTTTTTTTGTGAATGGGCTGACACTTGGGGGCCAGAAATGTTCTGTGATCCGGG